CATCCTCATAATATTAAGTTTTGGTGGTTTGTTACACAAGGGATTACTAAAACATCCACAGTACTGACCAAATATGCACCTCTTACTCGGTTCTATGGCCAAATGTTTTGTGTGTTTTTAATTTTGTCCTTACTCAGTTCTTCATTATATGATCAAAAGCAAAATGGCCACTGTGATTAGTCAATCTAATGTTGTTAAACTAAACATTAGACAAGATAAAGGGAATGAAAGGGGAAGTCAGAGCTGGGTATAATGAAGCCAGTTTTGGGGATCAGGAAATTGACTTCCCCTACTTTACTAAGTTCTAGGTACAGTAACTAGAGCCCCAGGAACAGGAATTTATAAAATGAAAATTTGTGTGCTAACAAATCTAGGCCTTTGGAGGGGGAGGGAGGGGAAGAAGAGTCTTTGGAATGGGTTGAAACTACCAAGAAGCAGAAATTCTAAAAGTTTCATTGGGAAATAACACTTGTGAAAGGAAAAGGAAGGAAAAGTAGAATTGAACAGGTAGAGCTGTCAGAACTTAGTGGAGACCTGACAAAGTCTTTGTCAGCCCAAGGGGAAATTCCAGAGTAAAAAGTGTTCATTAAAGTCCCATGGATGGCTAAGTCCTTGTATCACCCACAACCCTGTTCAGTTTTTGGTCTAGGGCTGGAGATTAGCTTGGAGGCTGTTAACCAGCCTTCTTGCCGCTGGGTAGCCAGTTCTTTCTTGAGAGACATTCTGAAGCAGCATATCTCTGTGTCTGTCAAAGCACCTGGTGGATCTTACATAGTAACTTATTAGATGGTAACTACATTGGTCTTTAGGTTGTTCTATCCCTTGAGTGTTAGTATACTTGAGTGGCTATTATTATGTACACTCCCACTCCTTCTAACTTTGCACTATTTCCTTGGAAGTGAGTTCAAACCCCCTGCTCTGCTCCCCTCAGCAGTGCATTTCAGTGTCTGTTCTATTCCCCTTTCTGTATCCAGTGAATCCTCTCACTCCCCACCACTTCCGCTGCTACATACACACACCTCAGGCCTACACTCCAGCTCTTTTATGCATAAAAAAGTAAAATAAATAAATATATTTTTAAGTTATTTCCTTCTGGGCCTTCCCTGGTAGTGCAACAGGTTAGGACGCAGTACTGCAAGCTGGCTGCAGCCACTTCAGTGCAAGTTTGATCCCCAGCCCCGGAGGTGATCCACATGGTGTGGCAGACATCTCCTGACCTGCCCACTGCTCCCCTCAGCAGTGTACTTAGTCAGTCAGCCTGTTCTTCTCCCCAGTTTCTGGTGAAACCTCATACTGCCCCTGCATCTCTGGCTTGTATCCCAATTCTGTATGAATAAATAAATTTTTAAAAATTGCTTGCCTTTAATTGTTTCCTTCTTTGGTAGCCCCCAGAGATTATCTATCACAGTCTTTACTACCACCACATAAACAATGTTTACACTTTCCCTCCTCCTAGACTGAGCTTCCCTAGGGACAATGTATCTTACTTACTTTTGCACCTATCAAACACAGTGTCTAAGACAAAAAAAAATCCTCAAAAATGAACTTGATGAGTAAAACTCATTTCTTGTAACAGTTCTACCTACTCAGTTTGAACAGGATCCACTTTTGTGTTGTGCTTTTCAAGTTGCATTTATGTACACACCCAGCAGGTTAGCAGTAATTCCTCTTCCAAAAAGATGGCCCTATGGAAAGTGACTGAGAAATGTGGGGCTGAGTGAGGATGGGGGTGCTGCAAAGATGAAGAAAGAGAGGCTAGCTATAAGAATAATTAAATGTATTTAAGTCCAACCAAGCTGACAATAAAAAAATAATAATAATTAAATGTGAAAACAGAAGAGAGAAAAAAGTAACGTCAAAGAGGTCAATGAAAGAAGTAACCGGAGGAAAAAAAATTAAAAGGAGAGAAAATTGGGCAGGGGGAGTCAAGGCCTGTGTGGCTGGCTCTCCCGGAGGAAGTACCCATCAGAGCCTCAGTGGTTACTATAATGGGAAGTGGCATCTAAAGAGAGGTCAAGTCTAGTTTAATTGGTCAAAGGGCATTATCTGTGTCCAAAGGGGGTGGGGGAGATAAAGGGAATAGAAGGACTGTGACCCTCTTCCTACCATAGACTGAAAGGAAAAAGATTTATAAAGCTTTGCCAGGGAGTAGAGAGACAGGGGCTTTTATTCCCCTCTTGACATCACAAGATTCCCTTATGTTCCTATTCACTCTTTTTTAAAGATTTATTTATTTATGCATACAGAACTGGGGTACAGATCAGAGGTGCAGGAGTGGTGAGAGGATTCACCAGAGAGAGTGGGGAGCAGAACGGGCCGACTGATGGAGTACACTGCTGAGGGGAGCAGCGGGCAGGTCAGGAGAGGTCTGCCGTGCCATGTCGGTCACCTCACGGGCACAGATGGAACTCATGCTGAAGTGGCTTTAGCTTCTTAGTGCTGTGCTTTAACCCACTGTCCCACCAGGGAGGGCCCTCCTATTCATTATTTTTTAAAGATTTATTTATACATACACCTCTGGGTGTAGGCCAGAGGTGCAGGAGAACAGAGTGGGGAGCAAACTAGTGCTGCAGTGGCTGCAGATAACTTCATAGGGCTGAGACTTAACCCCTTGAGCCACCAAGGAGGCCCCCATATTCATACTGCTGTGGTAGGAGCAATTAGTGTCAAATATCAGTTCTTTACCTTGAATTGAGCCAAGGTTTCCTCGCTTCCTTGCCTTCTGTCTTCCAGTCTTTTATGATGTAGCAGGAAACAGGCAATATTCCTAATTATGGGAAGAATACCAGTAGACTGGCCTTCTGCTAGCTTGGTTTCTTACACCAACTCTGATGCCAATTGGCTTAGTCACTCTGGGCATTTTATTAGCTCCACCTTTTATATGTACACACGCACACACACAAGGTGGAGCATCTTTACATATACACACGTGTGTATGTATATATAAATATACATGTATACACACACACACACACACATATTTGTGTACAAGAGCTGGGCCAGAAGTGGAGTGGTGGTGAAAGGATTCACCAGAGACAGAGGCAGATCTATTGAGATACACTGTTGAGGGGTGCAGCAGGAGGGACAGGAGAGGTCTGCTGCGCCATATGGGTCAGCTCTCTGGCTGGGAGGTTCTAAATATTCTATAGTGGCTGAGGATAGCTTCCTAATGCTTGTACCACCAGGGAGACCCATCTCTACCTCTTTTGCACTAAGATTCAGTGATATAATCTACCAAATGCAAAGAAAAAAATTCTGGAGAATGGTGTTTTAGAAAAGCAAGGTCTGGAATCAAATATGAATCTTACCATGTCGTAAAGAGATTATATTTCATTTCATGTCCCACCCCCACCCCCACACTTAATGTACTTCCCTTCTGCTAACAGTCCTATTATATATTCTTTTGTTGGTAGAAATTATTAAGGTTGAATTAGGTTTCTGTTTACAACATCAGCACTCAAGTTCATAAAAATTAATTCAACTTGGTCTACAGATTAACTAATGAATCCCTGGCCTGGGGTTCAGGGAAGACTGAAAAATCCTCTGAAAAAAAAAAAAAAAAAATCCTCAGAGGATGGGAATTACACTTCCCATCCTCTGAACAAAACACAAAAACCTGGCAGTGGAAGGTTCTAGGCAGAGAAAACCTAGACAGTGACTGTACACAGTGAGCCAATCCCCTGCCACTTGAGAGTACAACTCCATTTCCACTGGGAAATTACACCCACTGGAGGTTGTTTTAGGACAAGGCTGAATAAATTAAATATTTCAACACCATATGTTCAGCTTTGGCAGGAGATGTAAGTGAGAAGGGAATCTCAGTGTTAGGGAATACCCATATCGCATACCAGCTGGCTATTTAGTCATGAAGTAAAGAGAAACACACAAATATTTGGTTAAAACACCTTTAATGAAGAGGGAAAGACACTAATATCTCCCTTGTTTGCTCTTCACATTTTACTATGTTAAGAAGCTCTGGAGCCTAACCTTTGGAGGAGAAGCCATCATTCAAGTCAGTCAATAGCAGAACTGTCACTCTCTCCTCCTCAGAACTCCTGTTTCAAATGATCCTATGTTAAGAGTAAGTACTACATCTCATTACAAGAAGGAGAGGTGGGGAGAACACCGCCTGGAGCTCATCTCCCAAAGTCTGGGACTCTAAGAACCAGACAGCGGCAAAGACGGGAGCCCAGTCTATGGACAGGCAAAACGGGAAGGAAACGGGCCTTGAGACAGGAAGATGAGGAAAATACAAGGCGCCAGGGAATAAAAGAGGGAATTATCTAAAACTAGAAGCACACTAGTGCTAGGAAATCCCCCGTGATCCATGGTGCACGCTGCAACCTAAGTCACTAAGTCCAAAACATCCATGATCCATCCAATCAAGAATTCAAGGTCCCCTCCCTTACATCATGTCCCTTTCCTAATCACATAGCTTCCCAGCATGCCCTATGCTTCAGTAACATCCCCAACTCTATCATTACTCCTTCAACTACCCTCACCAAAAATGCCTGTGAAAGATAGGAAATCACTTCACATTTTCAAAATATCCCACAGGAGACCTCTTGGCAAGAAATCTGCTTGTTTCCTAATCTTGAGAAGCCACGATAAAGGAATGTGAGGAGCTGGATAGGTCTTAGCCTACGGACCAGTCAACATCTTTGCCTTAATGTGACGCATAGAATTTACTGGGAAGTGTCCAATGTCCTTTGTTTCTCCCTACCCATGAGGCTGAGCCACCAGATACTGATACTGCTGTAGCTTCGTTGCTGGCACCTAGGGAGTAGGGGGCTGGAGAAGGACATCCAGTTTGCTACTTCTCTTCTATGGTGGGCTTCTCAGGCACTGCCCTGGATGCATGAGGCCAACACAGGAAGGTGGGGGATATCTCTTCTCCTCTATATCCTGTTGCTGGAGGTACAGTGCCAGCCAATTTCTGGACCAAACAGCACCGATGACGCTAGGCCTGAAGTGGTAGCAGAAGTAGAGCTGGAACTCCTAGGCTGGGTGGGCAAAACAACTGACAGGAAATATTGGTCCCCGAAAGACAAGGGACCCACCCTTACAACCGGGGAGGAATTTCCTGGGATAGGGAAGGCCTACAGGTTAACACAGTCACCAGAGAGGAGTGGCCCGGGTCCTCCAGGGCCAGCTACTGGCCCCTCTGGCCTGGGCTGCAACTCCAAGTGTGGATGTTCAGGTGCTTCTACCGAAGGGAAAGCAGGGGGAAGAAAGGAGAAGGGAGAAGGGTTACCCCAGGGAATCTAGAGGTTCCCCCTCAGGAATGTGGAAGCTGTCCAGAATCTGTTTTTCTCAGGTTCAACGAATCAAGAGGGAAGAAAACTTCCTCGGGGGCCACCTCCCTATAAACACACGGATTTCCAAGCTCCGGGACTAGAGAAAAGCCATTAGGGACACACGTAATACTCAGGGATAAAGGAGAAATGAAGGCTCAGAAATCTTGGGAGGTTTTGCTGTAGAGTTGTTGATTTCTGCTCCCTGGGTTAAAGGGCAACAAGTACAGAAAAACAGGCTCATGGAATTGTGGGGTCATCTTTTCGGGGAAAAGGCGAAAGCCCTGGGGAACTGATGGAGGGCGAACAGCCTGGGACCAAGGAAAGAGCAGCAATATTCTGGGGACCGTGGGGGGCAAAGGGCTGTACCTGGTGGTGAGCCAGCAGCATGTGCTTCTTGAGGACAGCCCGCTCAAGAAAGCCCTGCCTGCAAAAAACACAAGTGAAGAGCGGCCCCTCCTTGGGGTGGGTCTTCTGATGCTCCTCCAGGGCCACCTGGGTGGGAAAGGTCTGGCCACAGACGTCACAGGCCTTTCTGCTACTGCTTTCTCCGGGCTCCTTCCTCATTGCTTCCTGCACGCTCAGCTCCTCCACCAAGGCAGTGCTGCTGCCTTCCCCTTCTATGGCAAGTGCTGACATCGGGCTGGCGCTTCTCTCCAGTTTGCCCCCCTCTTCCACGCCTCCTGTGACGTCACTGCCTCCCTGCTCCATTGATGGGGGTTGATCCAGGCTGTCCGGTGGCGGTGGCGGTGGTGGTGGCAGAGAAGGCTGCTGAACTGCCTTCTCATTACTGTCACTCTCCTTCCCAGCTGGGGCTGCTGTGGCCACAGTGCCCACTTCCTCCTCGGCCCCAGATGCCTCCTCTGAATCACCTCGCACGGATATTGCCTTCTCACCTCCACTTTCTGAGCCTCTCCCTGCCAGGGAATCTTCATCAGTCACATCTTCCTCTTCTTCCTCCTCCTCCTCCTCCTCTTCAGACAACTCCTCTTCTGGGCAAGGCTGCTGCGAAGGCTGCTGAGGGAAGCTTCCTCCTCCAGAAACAGTAGACTGCTCAGAGCCATTTTCCTGGGGAGCTCCTCCGCTTTCAGGGAGTGTGGCGCCACCATTGGGGATCTGGCCTCCCAGGTGCATGCGAACATGCTGCTGCAGAGTAACAGCATTGGTGAACTTCTTCTGGCAGATAGGGCAGGAGTTCTGGGCCCGGGCAGCTGGGCTGGTCTTGTGACCCACAAAATGTGCACGCAGATTGCCCCGGGTGGAGAAAGCTCTGCCACACACCTTGCATTTGAAGGGCCTTTCACCTCCATGTTGACCATAATGCAGGCGCAGCGCCCGAGGGCAGCTCAGCACCCGGAGGCAGATGACACACTGATTGGGTCCAGATGAGGCTGAGGATGAGGCCGCAGGGGAGGAGGTGGTGGGAGCTCCCGAGGCAGTAGAGGCCACTGTCACAGCTCCCTGTCGGTCAATCTTTTCTACCAGCTGCTGCAGTTTCGATGTCTCAGAGGGTGAGGCCCCCAACGGCTCTAACACATAGGGGAAGGGGAAGCTGCCTGTGGACTTAAAGTGGTTGGTAAGCAGTGCCCAGCTGGGTAGTGAAGTCACCAGCTTGCTCAGCTGCATGCGGGTGGCGCTTCCGCTCTCTGCCACCCCTGTGATGGCGGAACCCTCACCCCCGGGCGGGGTGTTTTCATCAGCCTTACTCTTTGGCTCTACCGCTTTCATGAGCACGAACTTATTAAAAGGAGGGAGTGCAGGAGCTGAGGCTGTGCCAGCACTGGTGGAGAGCAGCGTCAGGCTCTCCGTGGCACTGAGTGCTGTGGTGGAGGCCACCAGAGGCTTGCGCTCGACACCGCCACCTGGCATGGCCGCCTCCTCCTCAGCTTTCTCCGGCGGCACAGACATACCGTAGGGCAGGCCGCTGCTGGTGATGACATAGTCTAGGTGCTCTGGCACCGGGTGTGGGTTCATCTGCACATGCGGGTACTTCTCACGATGCCGATGGAAATGTACTTTGAGGTTGCCACGGGTGGTAAAGCGGTTGCCACAGACATTACACTTATAGGGCCTCTCACCTGTGTGGGAACGCAGGTGGATCTGAAGAGCACTGTCACTGCCAAATACTTTGGCGCAAAAGCGGCATTTGTGCCGTCCACCAGGCTTCTCCAAGGGGCCCATCACTTCCCCATAGCCCAGCTCACCACTGCCGTTCTTTGGCTTCAGGAGCCCTGGGGAGGCAGCGGCCTCGAGGCCTCGGGCGGCCCCAAGACACTGTGCCGCCAGTAGTCCCGTGGTGCCTGGGAAGGCCAGATGAGGCGAGGCGATCAGCTGATCTGTGCTGCCCGGCAGGGCCGGGGAGGGCGCAGGGGTGGGTTTGTGGCTTCGCCCAACCCCTCCAGCAGAGAAAGGATGCTGTGATCCCAGTGGATGGTAAAGGTGGAAGAAAGCCTGCTTGGGTGTTTCTGCCCCAGAAGAGGAGGAGGAGGAGGAAGAGGAGGAGGAAGGTGCCAGTGTCTTGCTGGTTTGGACTGGCTTGATGGGGCTGAAGAGGGGTAGCAGGGGCTTGGTGGAAGAAGGTGTCCCTGTCCCAGGCAACTCTGAGGGACTGGCAGGAGCGCCCACGGTCTGGCCTAAGGAGCCAAGCAGCAGTACCTGCCGGCAGATTTGCTCAGTCATCTGCATCTGATGGATCTGACGCTGCTGCAGTACCCGGAGCTCTTCCAAGATTAGAGGGATGTTCAGGTGGCCACTGCTTACCCCTGGAGGTGGAGGAGGTGGTGGAGGAGGCGGGGGTGCAGGGGTGGATTCTGGAGGTAATGGGGTTGCTCCCAGCTTGGGGCTGGCCAAGATCAGGCCCCCGCCTCCCCCAGTTGCTGTACCTGTGGCAGCGACCAGGAAATGCCCCGCAGACTCCTCTCCTCTCCGTTCAGGGGCCCAGGTGGGATCCGTGGGCACTGCAGAGGACCCAGCATCCAGGACGTTGCTGCTGTGCTCTGCATCCATGACCTGGGGGCTATTGTGGCCCTCAGGCCGGGGTTCAGAAGAGGCCGAAGTGTTGTTGGGATTCTCCTGGCCCCCAATGATCACCATTACAGGGGGTTCCGTTGAACATGCATTCTGGTGTGCAAGGAATTCAGCTGGGTCAGAGAATTGTGCGCAGCACTTGGCACAGACTTGGGGGTGGTCCTCCTCGCTAGCATCACCTGGGGAGAAAACAAGAAGCAAGAGCGTGGGTGGGTGGTGCGGCTGGGATGGATACACAGAGGCTCTAATTAACAACGAGCCCAGTAACCGCTAGTTGGGGGTGGGGGTGATGAGCTCACCATCAGGCCATGCAAGAGGCCACAGCGCTCAGTCCCAACTAGAGACACCCTAGCATGCGGGCCGGGGTGGGGTGGGGGTGGTGGTGAGAGCACGCGTGAACTACGGCCCAAGGGCCGCTCCCCCGCCCCCAACACCAAACCCCCAACAACCTCGCAGTTGCAGTAAGGAATGGGAGCAAGGACGAGGGCCTATGCAGAGAATAGCTCATTTTCATCCTGTCCATCCAAAGTCCTTCCACCCTCCCTACCCCACCCCCAACCGCGCGCGCGCGCCCCCTCCGTGCTCATTCCGCTGCCGGGGCCCTACCGCACCTCCAAGCTCCGTGGGCTCCCCGCAGGGCCCCCCGAGAAGAGAGCTCCTCCCGGCTTCATGCGCCATGGTTGTAAGGGAGGTGGAGGGCCGGGTGGGATGGAAGACAATGGGTATCGCGATTGTGGGAGGCGGCACTGGCCGCCGGGCTGCCGCAGCCTCTGCACCCAGCGGCCCAGACTGCAGAGATGGAGATCGGTGGCGGGGGCAGGGAGCAGCCGGGGAGGGGGAGGGGAGCGAGGCGGCGCGGAGGAGGGGAGGAGCTGGACCGAGAAAGCTGGGCGAGGGGAGACGGGGGAGGAGCGCCTGCGGAGGGGAGTTGGGGAGGAGGAGCTGCGGAATCCGCGGAAGGAGCGGGGAGGGGTGCTGGGGTGGGGGCGGTAGCTCCGTGGGTGTCCGAAGTCTCAGTCACAGGTGCTGTGGGACAGAATGGGGGTCCACCTTTCCTTGCCCTCTGCTGGCTCCCCCCTTTCAAGATGTCTTTGCCCAGGCCTGTCCGCCCCCGCCCAGCAAGCTCAAGGGGGCACAGTGGGAAACGCAGCCCTGCTCAATAGAGCAAAGCGGTAGGCTTCTCTTATTTTTCTTTGGATAAAGGATCCGCTGAGCCTGGAAAACGTGCACTCTAGAGAGGGTGGTCTGATCTCCCCAGAGGTCGGAGGGCCTGATGGGGAGGGCACCCCGGAACATCCACCACTCATCAACACACAGGGACCTCAAAATATCCCCAAGTTTTGTCCTGTCTTCCTCACCTCCATTTCCCTTTTCCCCTTCCGCGAAGAAGTTTCTCAGGGTGGGAAGCTACAAGGTAGAATTTCCATGGAAGTCATTTCAGGACTCCTCTCGGAGGAATACTAAGCCTCTTCACTCCGCCGCCCTCCTCCCCCAGAATAATAGCTGAATGCAAGTTACCCCACAGATCACCCAGCCCACAACTAATTTATAGAGTTCATGCTTATTTAAGGAGCCATCTCCTATTTAGTAACCCCTTTATCCTTCCTCCTTCTCCATTGTCCTCTGGAAACACGGGCACACTGTCATTATTAAGGAGAATTGGGTCCGAGGAGAAGTTAGCCTGCAGAGACCCACACAGGCCCATCTAGCTCTTACTTGGGGGGAAGGGGAGCTCTTCTTGGAACAATGGGGAAAATGCAGTAGGAGCAGCCCGACAACCTCTCCTTGTTTGAAGCCCTTTTCAACCCCAACCTGGTTTGAATGCCTAGAAGTGACTTCACTTTTGCTACCACTACAGAGACCACCTTCCTTTCAAAGACTGTAACTGGGAGTAAGATGCCCCAGGGCAGTTCCCTTTCTTGTGAAATGAGTCTTAAGTGGTTTTCCCACTTGCTAAGACTCTTACTTACAGGAAATGATTACATTGTTTACTGATGTCAGTTCTGTTATGGCCTGCTGGGTAGACTGAGGCATGGTGGCAGCCATCATTTCCCTTTCTATAAAGCAGTAATACTGTAGCTTCCTCAGAGAAGTATCACAGGGACAAAATCTTGAAAAACCTCGATAAATGACATCATTGTGTATATATGAAACTTTAAAGTGGGAGGGGGAGGCATCCTGAATACTATGGATTACATAATGTATACTGCCAGTGGCAAAATAATTAAAATAATCCAAAGTAGGCGTATACTAAAATGAGATCTGTTTTTCACATAGCTTAATCATCATATTGATTTCTGAGGTAAGATGTTGGCTAATAGTTAGGGTGTCTTTTTTTGGGAGGGGAGCTGAAATAGTACTAGAAACATACATTTTCCTATAACACCATTTTGCCATCTTTTTAAAATGAACAACACTGAATTGAATTAAGGTTTTGAAGCTTTAGAAACCTAGTACTATGAATCATGGCTCTGAAACAGATGACCTGACCTTTGCAATGAGGAAGAGGAGGGTCTGTTTTCAAGTATGGCAAGTCACAGTTTAGTACAATGGTTGTTTATATTTTTATTGATAAGGAAATTGAAACTTAGAGAGGTTAAGTGACTTTTCCAATTCAGTAAAGCAAGCATTCAGAATTTTGACTCCTGTCCAGTGTTTTCTCCAGCACATCGACATTGTGTGGCTTCCCTAATGCTAGAGAAAGGGGCCTGTGTGGCTCCCTACCTGCCATTTGCTCTCTGGCCTCAGTAAGGGAGAGGGAATCAGATGGAGGTTTCTACTGAGCATTTGTTAATTAGCATTGAACATTTGATATCAAGTTGCTGTTTTGTCAAGTGTTCCGACAAGAAAAAAATCCTTTTCTTTTCATCTTCTCCTGGGAAACACTGTTCCCTTTCTTGCTCTTTAATGAAACTTGCTTTCTGATGGGTAATTCGATCTGCACTCTTCTTTAAGGTAAATTTAGTCCCTGGTGAAAGGTGACGGATCAACAGCCACCTGTAAGAGGAACCCTCTATTTCTCAGCACTTTTGCACTCACTGCCTGTCCTGAAAAGAGGGGCAGGACTCTTAGGCAGACATGAATGAAGTCATAAACACAGGAATAAACTAAGCTGGTAATGGTGTCCCTAGATAGCAGATAAGGTGAGGTAAGCTAACCTGGGTCACATGTAAAGTCTGGAATGGATATAGGACGAAGACCTGGACAGGCCTGTTTAAATTTATAAAGAGCTGAACCGATAAGGAAAAGGGGAACCAGATGGCTCCCTAGCCTGGTGGCCCAGCAAGTGGCTTCTTTAGGCTTCAGAGAGTATAGTTGCTGAGAACAATGAGAAAAATAGACGGGCAGCGTGCAGCAGGGAGAACATGTTAAACATTGATTTTCAAATTTTGTTGCCCGCTGGTATTTCCAGGAGGGCCTTGTAAAACCTACACAGCCATGCCAATTACTTCACAATCTGTGAGAGCAGAACCAAGCATCAGTATGTTTATAAAAGCACTTCAGGTGACTCCACAGTAATACTGAGAATGAGAACCACCGGGTATGTACAGAGGACTGCCTTTCCATGGAACCTTCCACCTTACTACTTAACAAATTTTACCTGTGTGCAACCTGACCAGGATGGGGATGTGGACAACATAAGCCACTCAATGCTGCCTTCTGTCAGGCCTGTTCTCTGCAATGTCCACAACCACACTTCACTATCTTCTGTGAACAGGATTTGATATGATTTGTACCTGACGGTGAATTTAAGCAAAGTTATGGTCTTTCTCAGGGTATGTGACTCTTGAACCCTATTTTTTTTCTTTTTTAAAAGATTTTATTTATTTATGCATACAAGAACTGGGGTACAGGCCAGAGATATGGGGGTGAGAGGATTCACCAGGGACAGAGTAGGGAGCAGAACAGGCAGATGGACTGAAATATACTGCTGAGGAGAGCAGTAGGTGGGACAGGAGAGGTCTGCTGCACCAGGTAGCTCACCTCCCTGGCCAGGAATCAAACTTGTGCTATAGTGGCTGCTGTGCACCCTCAAGGATACTCTTGAACCATATTTCTAATTGTAAGATGAAAGGTTTTGTTCTGTATACATCATCCACTCATTAAGACAACTACATTCTGGTCCCTCCCTGGTGGCTCAATGGGTTAGAGCGCAGCACTGCAAGCTCTCTATAGTGGGTTCCATCCCCAGCCCCGGAGGTGACCTCATGGTGATGTGGACCTGATCAGCCCCCTGCTTTGCTTCCCTCAGCAGTGTGCTTCCCTCAGCAGTGTGTTTCCCTCAGCACATGTACTTAGTCATTCTGCCTGTTCTGCTCCCCATTCTGACTCTAGTGAATCCTCTCACTGCCTCTGGCCTGTATCCCAGTTCTATATGCATAATAAATAAATCTTTAAAAAACAAGACAACTGCATTCTACTAACATTGGACAAACACTAATTGGTAGTGTCCATCATTATGAATTGATTCTGTGAGTGCTGCTATATAAACTGCTTATGAAATGGTCTCATTTCCTCCTCACTCCTCTTTCCTTCATTCACACGCCTTTGCTACCCACACCTACTAATATGCCTTGGTGTTTGCAACACAGTAGACAAATAGGTCCCATGACTTGGCCACTTAGTGCTAAGTGAGAAAAATAGGTTTCTAGAGAGGAAATAGATGAAACAAGAAACTTTTTTAATGGACATTTTTCTGAAGGCAAAGGACTGAGAAATTAAAATGAAATGCAGACCACTTGAGCCAAAAGTGGTATGAAAAAGCCAAATGGGACTTTATAGAGAGTCCCTTCAGAGAGAGCTGACCCTCTCTCACATGAGTGCAGTGATTGGGAGTGTCAGAGAGACCTAAGTTAAAGTTCTAGTTCTAGCACTTTCTAACCTATGTGACCTTGGCAAAGTTTCTTAATTTTTCAAAGGCTCAGATTTCTCTTAAAATGAAGGTATAGTGGCCCTCCCTGGTGGCGTAGCGGGTTAAAGCACAGAACTGAGAAGTTAAAGCCATTTCCACATGAGTTTGATTCCAGCCTGCCTGGGAGGTGACCACATGGCACAGCAGACCTCTCCTGACCATTCTGTTGCTTCCCTCAGCAGTGTCCATCGATCTGCCTGTTCTGCTCCCCGCTCTGTCTCTGGTGAAGCCTCTCACCGCCCCTGAGCCTCTGGCCTGTACCCCAGTTCTGTATGTACAAATAAATAAATCTTAAAAAAAAAAATGAAGGTATAGTACCAAGAGTCTAAAATTCTGATACACATTTTCAGTTTGACAAGTTACAGCTTAGTACAATAATTGCTTATGGATAAGGAAGTTGAAACTTCGGGAGGTTAAGTGGCAGTATGGAAAAGTGGAAAAGCCTTGAAAACATTGTGCTAAGTGAAATAAGTCAGGATGACAAATGCATGGTTCCACTGTATGAGGCACTTGTAATTGGTATGTTTAGAGGCAAAAAGTAGAATGGTGATTGCCAGTAGTTGGGGAAGTTATTGTCTAACTGGTACAGTTTTAGTTTTGTAAGATGAAAGAGTACTAGAGATGGATAATGATGTTGGTTGCCCTACACTGTGAATATTCTTAATGTCCCTGAAATGAATACTTAGAACTTATTAAAATGGTAAATTTTGCTATGAACACTTTACCATAATAGCAAAAATGTCTTTTAAATGGAGTTTATAATAGGAGGAGTGTGAGGAATAAACAAGAAATATATAAAGTGGGCCTCCATGGTGCCCTAGGGTTAAGTCTCTGTGCTACCACCTCAATGGCCTTAGTTTGATTCCCAACCATGGAGGTGACC